CACATTGAAACACCAGTTCCCGTACAATCACCGAAGTTAAGCAATGTCAAACCTGGTTAGTACTTAGATGGGTGACTGCTTGGGAATACGGGGTGCTATAAGCTTGGATATATGGGTGGTGTAATAGATAACAGCTCAGAATTAATCGGAGATTTGAGTTCCAATTCTATTTGGGTTTGTTATATTCACTAATGCACACATACACTTTGGTAAGGCATGAATCATCATCTTCTCCCCCAACTATGGGTTAATTAGTAAGATATGTGTCACTAAATCATTATTATCTCAAAAAAATTCTTACAATCTAAAGAATATTTTCTAGCTTTAAATAACCTGCAATGGGTTGATAAGCTGTAAAAAACAAATCAATCAATCAAGATACAGCAGACATTTTTTCATTGAATAGTTTAATTTTTCATCCTGATAGTCATTAATGGAGCTGTGGGTAATAAGTTATGACAATAGGCTTAGTTAGATAATGACCTTTTGAGGCCTCTAGGCTAATGAAATTATGGAGTCCTCTCAAATAGTGCCACACCCTCTAACTCGTCCTCATTTGTCTTGAATATGTTTTACTTATAATATATTTTAGTGACATTTATATAGCTTAAAATAAACTTATTATAAATCCTTTAAATAAACTAGAATAGCTATCATTTATTTGTCAATAAAAATATTTTTTAAGAAATACTACTATCTTGTTATTTATTGTAAACCAAATTACCACATATTTCAACACAGCATAAGTAAAAAAATAGATTTTTTATAACCAACATTATAACAATAAAACAATCAAAATAGATATAAGTTTGTCATATTGATATCATTTCAGTTTATGAAACTATTTAGAAGTTAAAATATCTAGGAAATTAAAGTCATTGTTTTATAAAAATTTCTAAGTGTCGTATAATGTAGTTTTATGACCCATGATCAGTAGTGAACTTCTTGTCGTCTAACTCTTGACTCTATACTTTATTTATCCTATAACCAACACATACAAATAGGTAAAATCCTATTTGCCAATCCCACTACATTAAGATTTAAATATCCTGAACTAAAATCAAATGAAAGATAATGACACAAACTAAAACATTATTTTCCTTGCTTTGCTTGTTTCAAAGTCAAATAAATATAAGTTTGTCATATTGATACCATTTTAGTTTATAAAACTATTTAGAAAGTTTAAGGGGCTCTAGACTGCAGCCTATACTAGCCTAAATGGTAATCTGGCTCTGACATTAAGGTTGTTGCATTTATGAAATTTTGAAAGTGTAACACACACTATAATTAAGCCTATTAGACGGTCTGTTTGACAATATTCATAATAGATACAGCAGCTATTTTGTTGACACTTTGTGGACAAATAATTATAAAGGAGATTAAATTAATTAAGTAAATTAATCCTCTCCACACACAACCATTGTCTTTTTTTCTCTCTACTCTCTACTGATTATGATCAATATGATTGGTGATGGCACAGGGTAAGTTGGATTCATGCTTTCTCCAGAGGAACTAGTGCTAAAGTGTTAGTGAGAATTATTAAACTAGGCAGCTGCGGATAGCATAAAGGAGTAACCATTATAAGATAAAATATATGGTTGTCAGCAAAAGAGACTGGATTAAATTGTCAGTTAGTGAATTTTGTGACAAAATAATTGTGTGTTCAATCCCTGCGTTGGGCAGTGTATACTTGGACTCAGTGGAAACAAAGCAAGCAATAACTGAGCAGTACTAAAAATAAGAACTAAAGGAAATATCCCGGGACATGGGCAGGGGAATAAGAACAGTCTACCCCCTCTAGATTAAATAATGGGTGCAGTTTGTAGGTTACCTGATGAATGCTGGAGGGTGCAGTGACTATAACGTTCTGATAACAACAATCCAAATGTAAATAAATTGCTTACGTTCATATTCAACAACTCTTTTTTTTTTTTTTGTCTCTATCCTCTATATTATATCCTTGAGAAGATTATGATCAAGATAAATGGTGATGGCACAGGGTAAGTTGGATTCATGCTTTCTCCAGAGGGACTAGTGCTAAAGTGTTAGTGATCTCTTTAATTCTGAGACAATAGCTGTTGTACTACTAACAAACAATTTAAAGAGACAGATAACCTTTTTGTTTTGTACTTTTTTTTTTTTAATCCTTACTTTCTCATTGTTTGAAACTTGATCAATGATATGAAACAAAAGCCTGTGAGAAAAACTGAATTGATCTTTTGGGAAGAAATTTCCTTTTTGCAAAATTATTATTGTAAAAAAAAACAAAAAAACCCAACATACAGTTATCTAATTGTGTATAATTTAGTTGTCAACCATTTCTGCTTATGACCTTAGTTGCTTTTCAGTAATACTGTCAAGTATCTAGGCATCTCCTGTGGAATGATGGTTAGAAAGCAGTCATTTGATTCAAAAGTACGTTTGATCTCATTGAGTTTCTCATTGCTATGGTCTTTTTCCAAACTAGGTGAAATGTATATATCGGATCTGGAAAGTAACCAGAAATAACCTGTAATATTCACATAATCCACAAGCTCACTTAGTGGCATCTCATTAGTAATTAAGTCATTTCTACAGAACCTTCAAATTTTCATTTTTAAAGTTCTTAAACAGCAGCTTTTCATTTTTTTATAGTGTTTTTTGTAGCTATAATTCTGTGTATATGAATGTAGATAGATATTTCTTAAATCTAGCTTAGTTTAGTTGAAAGATGGTTGGAAAGATGCTGTTTCTGCTGGAACAGGCTGCCAGTTTTGAAAGAATATCATTAAAAGTCCTTACATGTTAACTAGACTTGAACACTTCCCAACTATCTTAACCACAGAGTAGGTTAAACATACAAAGGTACAGGTTACTTTTTCCCAGTAATCACTCTTCTCCACGTTCCAATGTTGACAGCCATTTTCTTTATTGTTGATCCTTGTTCAAAATATTATTTACTAGCTTAAAAACTGCAACATTGGGCAGCATCTGAGCTAGTTCCTGTGGAAGCCTTTTAATTGGGCCTTCATCACAATAGGTAGGGGAGGAGTAGATGCAATAAGCAGCAATAAACTACAGAAATTGATCACTGCATTTAAGTATTGCATTAATATTTAAGTTTGCCTTTTAAAAGTTCAACGATAATTTCTCATCAGAGTTTCTTATTGCTATGGCCTTGTGCCAAACTCAGTGAAATGTATATATCAGATCCGTTTGGAAAGTAATCAGTTATTTAATAACAAAAAGAAAAGATGACCTATAAAAGGCTATATCTTAATCCTTCCCAAGGTGTTCATCTTGGGATCTCATATACTTATCCCAGCATACCTTGGGCTTACAGCCATAAAACATTGAAATCCACATGATCACCGAAGTTAAGCAACATTGAGCCAGGTCAGTACCTAGATGGATGATTGCTTGGGAATACCAAGTGTGTTAAGCTTGGATGTGTTTCTGGTGTAGTAGATGATGGCTCAGAATTTTTAATCTGAGAGTTGAATTCCAAATCCAGTTGGATTTGTTTTATTCACTTACATTCAAATACCCTTGGAAAATGTATGAATCCACATCTTTTCCCGCAGCTATGGGTTAATTAGTAAAATTTGTATCACTAAAAGTATTATTATTTTAAAAAAGTAAATAAAATTACTTACAAAATATTTAAATTTTGGCATTAAGTAACCCATAGAGGTGTTGATATGCTGCAAGAAACCAACCAACCAGCATTCCTTCCATATTTTCAAACAGTCTACAAAGTCCTTTTTTGGGATTGCCACCAGCTGCCTCATCATATTCTTCTTAATCTTATTTATGGTCTAAAATCTTCTTTTCAACAATGATCATAGTTTAGGGAAAAGCCAGATGTACCATACAGCCAAATCTGGAGTCTAAGACAACTGATAGACATGGATAAGCAAATATTTTGTTATAAAAACCTCTTGAACAAGACATGAAAACTAGGCAGGTGAGATATTCCAAAGGGCTGGATATCTTCCAGATAATCCGTCAGATCTAAAGATCAAATTTTCACACTGTCAATTGCTGGCTTTCTTGGATTGCAAATCCAAAATTTTCCGGTGTTCTGTTTGTCAAAGGCTTTCCAGAATAGGAAAAAAAGCTTCATGCATATTCACTGTGAATATGACAACTTGACTCAATGATGCCTTATAATGAACTGAGTAACTCCATAAGAGAGTATCTGTTTATGCATGTGCCATAAGGTCCCCTCAGATTGGTTGCACAACCAGTTTTCAAGATATTTAAAATGGCTGGAAACTTTGCTGTTTGGTTACCACCAACTTGAAAGCATTCAAATATGCCTCTTTCATTTATAGGAAACTTACATAGACATATCTGGTTCATGTGTATTATTTTGAATGCATTCTTTTAAGTAATTCATATTTTATAACTTTTTCTAGTGTGTCATGGCCTTCAGTTATACTCACAAGGGTAGGCTGAAAAGTTCATCGGCTGACTGTGAATGAGTGATGCTAGAGCTGTGAAATCTTGCATGCATTAATTTCACCTCTTATTAATAATTGCATTGTTTCTTTCCAGGTAAACTTAAGTCTTAATGTTCCTCGTACATACAGAGTAAAAAGTGTTTCATTTTGCAGGTACTCTTGAAAAATGTATCTGTGGTCCCCAAATATCAACCATTTTTATTTTGACATGTGGTAAGACTTGAGGGTTTTGGCATATAAGCAACAGCCCTGTTGACAAGGTGTAAGATATACTGACTGCAATATGGGCAAGACCCTCACCACCTCCACCACCACCAAAAGCGCCACCTTATTTATGGATGTTTGCAGACTCAATGTTTACCTATAGACTTGTCCTTCCATTGGAACTCTAATTTTTTTAACTCAAGCAGAAATGCTCACTTTGACATCCACAAAAAACAAACCTCAATTTTGTCCACGTCTGGAATACCATAAAAAAATACCAAGGTCATAAAATATTTTTTCTAGTCAATCAGAAAAGGGCCCATGTGGTTTTCACAGTAACTGTTTCTGTGCCTGCCACTGATTGTAAAGTCAACACTGATTTCACCCATGAAGGCAGAGCCAACCAGGCAAGCATGAGTGATAGACTCCATGGCAAGCAAGCTTAAATGAA